ATCATCCTCTACAAATATCATAGGAAATGATAGTGGTTAAAATGAAAATAAACAAGGAAAGAAAGTTTCAAAGCATTCTATTTGGTTACTGGACAATACCAGGGCCCAGGTGGAAGTGTATAATTTACAAGAATGAATTATGTCAATTTCCCCATTTCTCACACAGAACCACCTGGAAAAAATAGCCTTCTATATAAGATTGACCCTTATTTTCCTAAAAATATTGAATGTGTTTGTTTCTATCGACATGTAATATATAATACATATAAAATCCTGAAATGCAGTATACTGCTAAAGTATTGTCCATCTATGTAGCTAATAATGGAATATCTATACATTAAGCTTTTCAGCCTTACTTTGGAAAATAGTAAATTTCCCTTTTCTCCTTTGCTTTTTATGTATTAGGTTGATTATAAGAAATTGATGATAGTCAACTTAATAGAAAATCTGAAATCTTAGAGATTTATTCAGAGATACTATGATATGTGAGTGTATGTACACATGAACAAGTTTCTATGTTTAGTGACAGATCCAAGTATTACTTATCTGATTGCCATGTTGATCATAAGTTCTTAAAAGGAAAATGGAGATGCTAAAGACATGTCTTCTGTGATCCTCCCCCTTATATAGAATTGTCTCTGGATGGGCACGTTCTTGGGCAGGTACAGGGTTGTAGTAAGCTTTTTAGCTCTAGCACTTTCCCCTTCCAGTACTAGTACTAGTACTGGATTTTTACTAGTACTTCTAATTGGTAATAATGCAACCAGAGATGCAGTAGCTCTTCAGACTCATTGCTGAGTGTGACAGTCCTCGTCTTGTCTCCCTTTGAGACCACAATCTGTGCAAGTGGTTGTATATTTATCCACATACATATCTTAGGCAAGTATATTTTTGAAAGACTTAATAGTGTGACAATTCAGGTTCTTGAGAAGGCAGTGTCTTATAAAGTGATTAATATGCGGAATTTCATTGGAATGATGGAGAGTGCTCTCAGAATTCCCGCTTGTGAAGGGGAAGAAGGGGAAGGAAGTAGAATAGGGCAGAAGGAGAAGCTGGGCTTCAATGAAGCTATAACTACAACATCCGTTCTCCCCTCCTGTGGTCTGCCCTCCCCTGCAGAATTGTCCTGAGTTGGAGCAAGGGGGCCAGGTTTTTATAGTCCACACATTAATCAGTCATTGGGTACATGCTACCTTCAGCAACTTTCCCAGAAATTAGTGCAAAATATATTTAAGTTCTGAAAGGGGGCTGACAGCTCAGCACAGCTCCCACTGTACCAGTAGTTCAAGTTTGGTCTGCAGTGGCAGTGATTCTCAAGCTGTAGACTATCAGAATTACCTGAAAGGCTTGTTGAAGCATAACTTGCTGGATGCCACACTCAGAATTTCTGATTTAGTAGATCTAGGGTAGAGATTGAGAGTTTACATTTCTATTAAGTTCTCAGATAATGCTCATGCTGCTGGTCTGTGGGCCACAATTAGGGAAAAACTGTACCATACTGCCCATGTTTATATACTAAGGATGGTATATGATGCCCTTATGAAGGGGTAGAAAACCTTTTGAAGGCACCATACCATTCCATACTCCATCAAATTCTTAGCTATTTTCATACATTCTAAAGTTGAAATAGCTGAGGATTAAAATTTGTTATGTAAATAGTACTTAACCAATACAGTAGATTAGATTGGTAAAGCATCGTTACTACTTCTGATATCTAGTCATTGTTACATTTAGCATTCAGCCAAATTTTCTTCATGGTCTATAATTTGATAATCTAGCTAGGAATTTACAAAATAATCCAAGTTTAAGATGTTTAGTTTTACTCTAAGGCATTTTTAAAATTTCTTTATGATTCTCATAATGTTTATTTACATTTTTTATAATAAAAGCCATTTCAAGCTACATGGTTACAGACAAAAAGTACATTCAGAGCCATTAAATGCACAAATATAGCATACGTGTACCCTTGACTTGTTTCTGGTCTAGATTTGGCACAATGAAAACTTAGGAATTCAGTGTTCATGGTCTGACCTCAGGAGAAAGGATGCAGCCTTAAAATTCCCACACAAGCAGGAAACAACAACCTTGCCCATGACTGAAGAGGCCTGTAAGGGGCTCTTTTGAAGAAGTTTTCTGCTGCTGCTGCCACTGAATTTTTAAACATATTTTCCAAATTGGAAAATACTCAGCCTGATGTTGTCAGTATTTCAAACCATAAGGGTGTTGTTTAGGAAAACGATGCCTTACTGTCCTGAAAGAGTTACTGTTCTTCCCTAAAGGCCTAATTTACAAAGCAGCAAACTCGCTGGTAGGATTTGGCTGGAAATCTCATTGTCCCAGTAGAACCCTTTCATCTGATTTATGTGCGTTATGTTTTACAAAGAACTCAAAGTTATTTACTGGTTACTTTCTCTGGAAGCAGAGGGTAAGTGATGTTTCAAGTTTAAGAACAAGAAGAGGTATGATGCACCAAGTGCAGCTCATCGTGAAAATGAAGCTGATAAAAAATGCATGGTGTCTAATTCTCTGAGCTTCACTCTGCCATGAGACTTTCATACTGTCTTTTTATTTGGTGTGAAATTAGAGGATGTTCAAAAATATGTCAGTATGTAACCCTGTATTTTTCTTCTGGAATGGGACAACATATTTCTATCCCAAATTTGGGGCTAGTTATGGAGTAAGTCTTAGTGATTTCTAATGCATAAGCCAACCTAGAAATAGTAGCTTGAACGGGATGAAATTGCTGCCTTTGGAGCCAGAAATGCTCCAACATCAGCAGTTACATGTGCTGCAACCTGTACAATTGTAACATGAAGAATCTTTTGCTGTAGCAATGGTTCTGAATTTTTAAATCATACTAAATTAAAAGATAAATAAACAACCATTTGGATCTTTCTCCCTACATTGATAGTGTGCCTGAAAACTAGTGAAGCAAGGACCCAGAAGTCCAGGGAAGCCCTGGAACTACACGAGGTTTAACTGATTTCCCTAACCAGCCCACTAAGCTACCTTTCAGCTGTGCAATATTAAAGTTTATTTAGGAGTTGATAAATAGCTTAGTGAAATGCTTCCTTTTTTCCAATAGCTACATCCTCATAAACCTATTCTACCCTCCACCAGTTAATGCAGACAGAAGATTTTTCTCCAGTGTGAGTGCCGAAATGACACTGTAGAAGACTGTATGCTCAGCAAAAACTTCACCCATGATGAATAAACAGCTCTTCCGGGGACTTTGCTGCCGCTAGCTCGGCAGGAGTTGTTTATTGCCTGGTTTGCACATCCCATGATAAAGTTGTTGCTGAAATAAATTGCAATTTTGCATAATTATTGACAATCACATCTTAACAAGCAATGTGTATCATATTCAAGTGTTCAATTCTTTAAAATCCATTTTCAGTTTATGTTGAATCCCAGAAAGTGTTTGTGTGGTAATGGAAGGCAAATACAGCATTGAAATAGAATACTAATTCCCTCATTGCAGACAAAATTTACCTGAATCTTTTTAGTTGGGATTGTTACCGTCTAAGGCAATTTTACCTCCCAAGCTATTATTATGTAGATGTTTGCTGAGGGTATGTGTGTGTATCCACAATACTTGCATTGTATATATTTTCAGGAAATGTGAATAATTCTTTTGTAGATTTTTTTTTTGGTTGAGGAATGTGGTTTATTCCCTCTAAAGGACTAGAGGAAGTGAGAGAATGGGGTGTAAGCAGAGGAAATTAACACTTTTGAATGACTATAATGTGTAACTAGATAACTTGTGAGTCTTTACAGACATTGTATTTTCATTCTCATCATAGCCATATGTACTTCAGATGAGAAACTAAGAAATCAGAGAGGTTAAGTAACCTTCCCTATCACACAGTGGGCAGGAAATATTGGGATTTAAATCCAGATCTGTCTGTTTTTCCAGCTCTAACTTTTCCATTACACATAAATTTTTCTTTTGGAAAATATTCTCGACTATATGACAAACAGGTAATGAAATATAAAGCCAACACAATAGTTAAAACTATTAAGACACCATAGCAAGTGTTACACAAAATAATATTCTGCACAGAGCTTTCTATGAAAGTTGTTATTTTTCTACTTGTTAGTCTTTTGTTTTCCTTTTCCCTCCAATCCCCTTCTCTTTTTTCATCCAGCATTCAACTTTCTATTCTAGTTTTACAAAATCTTAACTTTCCTCCTGGCCTATCCAATCCTTGTTTCTGCCTCAGGTGATATCAAAGATAAGCATGGTATAGGGATTTTAGGGTTTTACATATAAAGATCAGCTTAAACTTTTATAGCATATTAACATACAGTTTGAAAAAATAAAATAAACTCTCAAAATTAATTAGTAAAACCTAGAAAGTTAAAGAACATTTTGAGAGTTCATATATGAACTTTCAAAATCCAAATATTCTCTATAATAAAAGGCTAATATGCAAATTGACCAAACAGTGGAATGACCAGTCGCAATGACATGCACTGACCACCAGGGGGCAGACACTTAATGCAGGAGCTGCCCCCTGGTGGTCAGTGTGCTCTCACAGGGGGAGCATCACTCAGCCAGAAGTCAGGTTCACAGCAGACAAGCACAGCAGCAGTGGCAAGAACTTCTCCTGCCTCCAAGAGAGAGCTAACAATGTCCTCTGAGGGCTCCCAGACCATGAGAGGGTGCAGGCAGGGCTGAGGGACTCCCCCCACACCCTACTGCACACATTTTGTGCAATGGGCCTCTAGTATTTATATACACACATATTTGTGTGTGTGTATATATATATATATATATATATATATATATGTGTGTGTGTGTGTGTGTGTGTGTGTGTGTGTGTGTGTGTGTGTGTGTGTATACATACACTATTCTAGTTGTTTCTTTTAAGAGGAGCTTTAACAACAATTCACCCAGTTTACAGTTTAGTCCCTTTAGCCTTGCTCTTTTTATGGGGTTCTCTGGGTGCACCATTCAGATATTTGAGAATTGCATCTGAATATTTGTTCCTTTGCAGAGTGAACGAGCAAGAGGCTGCTTTAGAAGAAATTTATAGATTACTGCAACAGTTCCCCCTGGACTTGGAGAAGTTCCTTGCCTGGCTTACAGAAGCTGAAACCACTGCCAACGTCCTACAGGATGCTACCCATAAAGAAAAGCTCTTAGAAGATTCCAAGGGAGTAAGAGAGCTGATGAAACAATGGCAAGTAAGTCAAGCATGTCTACTTTAGCACTTTTATGAATCTGATTGAACCATTCTCAGCATTTGTCCTTGTAACTGATATGCTGGGGTCAAAATATTTTCATGGCCTGATATATTTAAACATTTGGGCAAGAAGGAGAGAGGCACAGGGAGAAGGGAGAGTTATTTACTATTTCATTTAACAACCTGATCTTCTAAATAGTACATATTTTCAACAACAACAACAAAAAAGAAAAAAACTTGCACATAAAACCAGAGCTTTGGTCAGGGAGAAACTCCTTAGAGAAAGAAATTAGGGGTTGGTTTATTAAATTGGAAAAGTTGCCAATTTGAGTGTGTATTTAATATCTTACAGGGAAAGCATCTGTATGAATTGTCTATTTTATTTAGCATTGCTAACTTAATCAGTTTCCCTTCATTACTTTCAAATACATTTCGAAATGCTAATCTGGCATTTTGTAGCTCTCTTCCTAACATGATCTGTGAAAATAAAAAATGAGATGGCTAAATTTGTCATAGTTAATGATAATACAATTTTCAAACAATTGTTTTTCCTAGAAACAAAAAATTGCCATAACATTTCATATCATAAACTGTGAAAGCAGAAGCAGAAGCTAGTTGTGTTTAATGAAGTCTTGGTGAGAATCATATTTTGCAGCTCAAGTTTATTCTCAGTACCTGATATGATTTTCCTGAACTATGATGGAGTTTTGTTATATATTGTTGACTTTTCTGGCTTGATGTAAAACTTCACTATTATCACAAATACAATTTGGAGTGTTAGAATAATATGACCAATTTTTTGGACTAACTTCATTTGCTTCTTTGTTTCATATTTTTAAATCATGAAAAATATCATATACACAAGGTTGAAAAATAATTTCAAAATCAAATTATAATAAGCAAACGCTTTTCTCCTCCCCCTTTTTGTTCTTTTTTTTTTTTTTTTTTTTTTTTGAGTTAATATTTGATCTACTTTGCTGCTCTGGTGCATAGAGTGGATGGCAGTGGCAATTTATCACTTCTTGAAGTCTTCATTCTTGCTTTATCATTCTCCTCAGACCCTACTTGCCCTTCCACAGTGTGTGTTGAATCAGTTTGATCGTTTAGAGGCAGTTCGTTTAGAACAATATCTGACTTTATCTTTGCAGATATTTCCCATGGCTTGAGAATGTAAGAGCAATACAAAGTTAGACTTTTTTTATCACTCTTAAATAAATGGTTAGAAAATGTGATGCTGTAACTTATTTTACAGCATTTCATAAATAAAAATTTCTCCATATAAATGCCCATAAAGCCACCCTATAATTTTAATAAATACTATACAGATTCACATAATTTCATTAGCTATAATAAAAAGTAAACTTAAAGTGGAATTTCTAGCAGGTTACTTTAAAAATAAAAAAATATTCTGGTAACTCAAAATAATTTTATAACATGAATTTAATAAAATAGATTAAGTCTGGTTGAGTGCAAATATACATCCATCTATCACCTATACATTTTATATTTATATCTGCATTACTATACAATGAAAATTCATTTGTAACTCCTATCTTGAGAAACTGTAAGATTCTGTATCATTAAAGAAAAAAGTTGCCATGTTTCCTACCTATATTGGAAGAATGGAAAATAAAGTACATTTTGAGTTTAGATTTCTGATCTGTTTTAAATACAATTGGAAATTATGTTGATGAAACTTTCTTTACTTGTCCTATACTCATAAAAATGTATTTGTTCTTAAAAAACATATAAAACTACCCTAGAGTCTCTAAAAATCTTAAACACTGTTTTCCCTTACTATGGCAGGACTAAGATTTCAACATTATTTTAAAACAGAAAATTTTCTCATTCCCTCTTAGTTAATATTGTGTTTTTTTATTAATACCAGTTGCCTGAGGTTGAAACTACATTTTATGAATAGGAATGACTTTTATAGCCAGCTCTGATGTCAGTTAGATGGCTCAATAATGGTCTTTTGATGAAATATTTAGAGGTACTAAGGTAAAAACTCTAAAATATTGAAACTCTTGATTATTGTTAATGGTACATGTCAACTGAGATAATTGAATCAAGATACTGGAGTTTACAAGCAACAAATGGAAGTGCCAATTTTGAAAGTAACTAAAGCCACATATCATAGGAAATTACAAGCAATTTCAGTTATTTAAGCTAAGTGGAAGTATTTTCTTTTTTCCCTCTGAAGATGATTTTTAAATCTTGAACAAAAGGAAATTTATATGATATGTGGAAAGGAAAAATGTTTAACCATTTGCCTTTTCACTTCATTTCAAGAAGCTGGTAGTGGCTAGCCAGTGTGACTCAGTGGTTGAGTGTTGACGTATGAACCAGGAGGTCAAGGTTCAATTCCTAGTCAGGACATCTGCCTAAGTTGTGGGTTCAATCTCCAGTGTGGGGCATTGCAGGAGGCAGCCAATCAATGTTTCATTCTCATCATTGTTTTTTTTCTCTCTCCCTCTCCCTTCCTCTCTAAAACCAGTTTTTAAAAAAGAAGCTGGTAGTATTATTGTTTGGTTCCTGCTGTACAGTACTCCCCCTTTATCCAGTTTCAGTTACCCGTGCTCATCCATGGTCCAAAAATAATGAATGTAAATTTTCAGAAATAAAAGAATTATAATTTTTAAATTGTATACCATTCTGAGAAGCATGATTAAATTTCACTCCAACCACCCCACCCCAAGAATGTGAATCATTCCTTTTCCAAGCATCTCCATGCTATAGATGCTCCCCATGCATTAGTCACTTAGTAGTCATCTAGGTGTCAGATAGACTGTCATAGTATCACAGTGCTTGTGCTCAAATTACCCTTTGTATATTTAATAATGGCTTCAAAGCATAAGAGTGATGATCCTGGCAATTTTGATATGCCAAAGAGAAGCCATAAAGTGCTTCCTTTGAGTGAAAAGATGAGTACAGTATAAGATATTTTTAGACTACATTCACATACTTTCATTAGAGTATATTATAGTAATTGTTCTATTTTATTATTGTTATTGTTGTTAATATATTACTGTGCCTAATTCAAAAATTAAACTTTATCATATGTGTATATGTATATGAAAAAACATGGTGTATATAGATTTTGGTGTAACCACAATTTTAGGCATCTACTGCAGCCTTAGAACATATCCTCAGGGATAACAGGGGACTACTATATAGTAAGAATAGTTCTTACATATTAAAAAAAAGAAAATTCCAAATGCCTACCCAGAGCAACAGCTTTCCCAGTGGATCAAGTATATATGTTCACTCCAAAAACAGTGATGTTTTTACTTTTTATGAATGCTATTGAATAGAAACAGAGGAGGGAAAACCTTCACAAAATATGTTTTTCTTCGATACAGTCATTCTCTATATGGAACCTCCAGCTCTTACTAGACTACCTGATTCTCACTATTGTTTGTCATCTACTTCATAGGATATTTAATTCTCCCATCCATAATTATAATCCATGGGCTCTATAAGCATACACATTTTATGAATAATATGTGAACTTAATGGAATTAACCTGATTCATTATACTCTGGAAACCTTTAAAATTTCTTTCTTATATTAGAAAAACGTTATTTACTTTGTTTACTAAAAGTTAGGACATAATAGTAGTCCTTGTACTTTTAGATAATGATCATTTTCTTTAAGTATATTGTTATTTTTAAACTGGAATTTTAAAGCCAATATATTTTTATATAATACTAAGCATATAGAGCTCTGAGACATATTTTGAGTTTTTTAATTGAAAATGTATCCTTAAAATGAAGAACTATTAATAATTGAATCAGGTTTTTCCAGTGTCTAAAACATTTCTTGTTTTGGGCCTCAGAGAATTGATAAAGATGGTCATGGTTCCAAATTCTAACATAAAACCATAGGTAACTAACTGAAAATGGGAAGACTCTGCATCTTTGCTATTATAATATTTAACAAGAGTTTCATCAATCATAACTAGTTTTCTAAGCACCCCTAAGAGATAAACCTAATGCCAGCTTGTAAAGAAGGTTGTGGCTGTGGTATGTGGTGGGAGAGATGGTCACAAAAGTGTCATAATTAGTCCCAGCCAGAGAGGCTCAGTGGTTGAGTGCTGATCTGTGAATCAGATCACAATTCACTTCCTGGTCTGGGAACATGCCCACTTGCAGGCTCAATCTTCCCAGTATGGGGTGTGCAGGAGGCAGCCGATGAATGATTCTCTCTCATCATTAAGGTTACTATTTCTCTTTCTCCATTCCTCTCTGATATATATATATATATATATATATATATATATATATATATATATATATATATATATATATATATATATATATTACAGTGGCATAATTAGGACCTTTTTTCAATGAGAGATACTTATGGAGCAATTAATAGTTGAGATTTCTTCATCTATGTTTGGGTTCATGGCTCTGGCCCTATCTCTCAACTCACTCCCCATTCTGATTTCATTTGTTTGACCCATGTCTCCTCCCAACCCTCTTTTTCATTATAAAAATTCTCTTCTAGGAAACAAAACATAACCAGAGATACAAATTTGATACATTTTGAATTATATATCAGAGTATTTCTTCAAATTGATTAAGATATCTTATATTTCTAATACATTCTTGAAATTGAAGAAGTAACTTCTTTAGTATTTCTTACAAAAATCTTGGCCCACTGGATAAAATTAAGGGAAGAAAGAAGAACATACCCTAGACAGTTTGGCTCAGTGGATCGAGTGTTGGCCTGTGGACTGTAAGGTCCCGGGTGCAATTGCAGTCAAGGGCATATGCCTGGGTTGTATGCTCAATCCCCGGTAGGGGTATGCAGGTGGTAGTCAATCAATGATTCTCTCTCATCAATGTTTCTATCTCCCTTTCCCTTCCTCTCTGAAAACAATTTTAAAAATTATTTTTAAAAAAAGAAATAGTGAAAACATTTTAAAGTTTAGAAAGTAAAAGTCAAAGAGGAAAAAAGCTTTACCATTAGCAAAGCCAAATTTTGTTGCAAAAC